GACCAGCAGCGTTCGAGAGTAGCAGGAGAGTATGGAGAGATAGCAGGGCAGCAACCGCTGGTAAAGTATGGTGAGATTCTGTTACTGCACGCTGGCGGACGCTGGTAGACGCTGGTAGACGCTAGATCGATATCTACACTTTCCTAGTCGCTGACGCTGCCGGACGCTCGGAACGCTGTGGACGCTGCTGGTCGCTGGTGGACGCAGCCGCAAAGTATGAACGCAGCCAAAGGTTAGTGAGCTTCATACATTCTCCTTGCCCTCTCGAGAAAACTGGGACATGTTGAGACCCTAACTTTACTTGAAAGGCTTGTCTCAGCAGAAAATCTTCCTGCGAATCTTTATTCTCCCGATTGTGCTTATGTGTTTCTATTTCGAATTTCGACATTACGTGCACAGAATTCTATTCCAGGACGTTCCAATATGGGATCCAAAGATGAGAAGCAATATAAATACAATGACGGCACTTCTCGTGGGAATGTGCCGAAGTGAGAGCAGGAATTTGTTTTTACTCATATTTTGTTTATACTCTCGTAATTCTCTGGAGCCAAGTGAAAAGGTGAAGTGGAGGTGAGGGCGCCACAGTCCAGGAATCAAACCGCGTTTCGGCTCGTTCGGGTTAGTCAGGTCTTCCAGCCCCCTCGGGTCTCTATGTTGGCGGCACGAACGTTTGGGAGGGCAAACGCGCTGATCGGCCGTTGCAGGTCATCTTGCGCTTGAAATACCGCTAGGATGCAAATAGAGAAAAAACTCACCGGCAACGTGTACGCGGCGCGTGTCAAGCTATATCGTAGCAATGGCGCGGCTCTGCTGTCGCTACTTTTTGATGGAAACAGGTCCCCTGCGAGGGGGTGCGGGTGTTTGGTCGCTGGGGTGAGGGAAGTCGTATGTTGCAGGATTTTTTCCTCAGCTGCAGGACGTGTCATGGTGATTAACTCTAGACAATTGACGAAGGCATTTCTAGCAGCGGTAAAAGCCAGGAAAAACGAAACGCACAAAAAAGCCAGTATTCTCAACAGAACTTCCTTAAAGGTGTTCCCATTGCCATGCGACTGTACAACTCACTCGACGCTACAGATTTTCCGTCTATCCTATTTTACGCTAGTCTCGCCTTCCCCCCCCTTAATGTTGCTCTTTCCTATATCGTCGCGAGTATGTCTCAATACGACCCCCCCCCCGTGACCGAATGAGACCTCCCGCTGGGGATTGACCGACGTGCTGATTCCTGCCCAATGACCACGATTCATCTGGGTGGGACCAACCTTTCCTGTGCTGCACGTGATACTTTTTGAACCTGCTGCAAAAGGAAATAAGAAATATAGAAACGGTACGCTATCTTGTGGAATGCCCACGATGAACTCTGGTGAACCAGCCTCCTGAGAAGTATTGAAGACTTCCACTGAGTAGTGCATTTTCAGAAACGGTGGAAAATAAGGCATTTATGAAATGGCTGGTCACGGAGAAGTTCGATCTTGCCTTCGCCTACATGGCAGACCCCTGTTCCATTGGTCTTGTTCACTACGCCAAAATTCCGTCATGGATCTGGCTGAGCAGGTAAGCTGAACCTTTTTCGTGATTATACCCTCTCTATCCCCATTTTTTCTAGTGCTGGTTTGATTGACTTTGGTGCCTACTATATAGGAGCGCCGATGATTCCAAGTTATGTTCCGCGTGAGTTGACATGAGCACCATTCCAAAGTATTGGAATATTTAGCTCGATTTTCTTTTCATTCATATTCTTTCAGCAACTATGATGGCTAGTACAGACGAGATGGATTTCCTGGAAAGGACAAAAAGCGTTATCGGGCAGTTTCTTACTATCTTTTTATGGAGAAGGTAGGTAGACACTCGCGAAAACGGATAAAAAATTTGTTTTGTTCTCTTCGAACTATAAGCGTTTGGTGAACGTTTGGTGAAAAAGTGAATTATCAAGAGCTTTTGTCTGAAAAACTTGTTTCGGTTGCGCGACTTATTCAGTTTCCATTCAAAATCGAGGAGTTTGAATATGCATTATTATGTCTCGTACCTGAAAGGTACAGCCCACGCTGATCATATGGGCGGAGTCGGACCCACTGTTCCCGATCAAGGCGACCCCCTCCCTTGTAGACCGAAATAGTAGGGGAGCTTCAGTGAGAAAGACAATTGTGAAGTATCCTTGTAGACACCCTTCCGTCCTTGTAGATTGCAACTTTTAAAGGCGCGAAGAGAGACCAATCAAAGTACACCGGGGTGGGGGGAGGGATTATTGCAACTTCCAACTGCTCCCCGAAGTTTCCGGGCATATTGACCTGAATGAAACGCTGTGAACTAATATGAAGCTGGAGACAGAGCTCATCGATCCACGAATGGTAAAAATGTCAACTCTGGAAAAGGCTCTCTAGATGGGTCGACACGTCGATGGGAAGTAGCAAAAGGGCAAAATGCCCCCCCCCCATCGCCGAACTACGCCCAAGTCAAATTAACTTGCCTCGCTTTTCGTTAGCTTTTCCTTGACAACAGCGGGAGTCCTGAGACATTCCATTATTTAGCTCTGAATTCACAATGAGTCATCTTTTCCTACTTTCTTTTCTATTCTCTTTTTCATCCACCCCTCTCCCTTTATGTCACCCTTCATTCTCTTTCTGGAAGCGGTTTTAGCTCGATTATGTTCGAGATCGCGGGACTACAACGATGAAGCAGCTCAAAAATGCAGCGTACACTGGCAGCATAAGATCTAGCACAGTGCTCCTCCCAGTGATAGCCCCTTCGAGACGACTGGAAAGAGGGGCGTCAGTGAGAAAGGCGCAAACGTTGAGTGTCCCCTCCCACTCGAATGAACTAAACCATATGTGTACCCGTTTTTACTTCCTTCGACACACTGAAGTTACTGCACTATCTTCACTCACTTCAAAAAGCGCAGTAAAACTCGTAGACTTACATTTCAGACAGTACTTTCAGGTGTGAAATAGATATGAGGAGGGAGGTTAGGTGTTGGTAGCCTCACTGGGTGCTGTAGACATCTGTCCATCCTGGAATTATTTCATGGACAGATGTCTGCCTTTACTTCTTTCATTCAGAAGGTTCGCTGATCCTGAAACGGCAATCTTCCGCGAGCTGGTTGATCCAAATTTCCCTGATCTTGTCGAGATCGCAAAGGAATGTCCACTGGTATGCTCAGCATGCCAAGTTCATATAAAAGTGTAGCTCAGTCCTGAAATTCAGGTGATGGTGAACTCCAACGAGCTCTACGAGTTACCACGTCCACTGCTGGCAAAAGTTGTGAACATCGG